AAAAAAAAAAAAAAAAAAGAAAAAAAAAAAAAAAAAAAAAAAAAAAAAAAAAAAAAAAAAAAAAAAAAAAAAAAAAAGAACTAAGAAAAAAAAAAGAACAAAAGTAAAAAAAAAAAGAAAGTGAAAAAGAAGCAATAAACAGAGAAAAAAAAAAGCAAAAAAAATAGTTAAAAAAGAAAGAAAATAAAGCAAGAAAAAATAAAAAAAAAAAACAAAAACAAAACATAAAAAAGAAAGAAAAAAGAAACAAGAAAAAGAAAGAAAAAACAAAGATAATAAAGAAAAAGTGAAAAAAATAAAAAAGCAAGCATATATGACGTACGATACGTACATATATATGTATATACGGTTTATCTGATTCTGAAGTTAGATTTGTGTAATAGAAAAGAGTTAATATGATCATGTGATTCTAATCTAGATCAGAAATCAATTGATCATATGCTCCAGAAAATCTCATCTACATCTTATATTTGTTGAGTAAACTTTTCTGATTTTAATAGTATTTAAATTATTAAAATTAGACAAAGATTTTAAGATATTTGAAATTAAAAATGTAAATATAATATTATAGGCTATAATATTATAATACTTTATTGTCTGAAGCGAAGTGTAGAACTTATATATTTATATATTTTGATAACTAAAATTACTATTTTGATACATATATAATAAAAATATCTATAATATAGTTTCAGTATTTTTTGTTTATAATGCCACTAACCTTTTTTTTTCTTTTTTATAAGATATCCTTTGAGACCAAACTTTATTGATGTTTATTATTGACCACATAGATCTACATTTTAGTATTACAACAAGAATACAACTAGCTATACATACAACTTTTGGTTGCCTATTTAAGTAGTCTGCTCAAAGGTTTTACATTAGATATCATGTCTATAACTCAGCTAGAAGATTATCTATTTAAATACTCTAATCGTATATACCCACCAATTATTATAAGCTAAGTAGGTATCTTTATATTAAAATGCCTCCCATTGGTTACTCATAGGTCCTTACAGGTAGGCATAATAGCTACGCCCTAATTTTTCTATGTCTTATACATTTTTCCACTTTCTTTTTTTCTTTTTTCCACATTATTTTATTTTCTTTTTCTTCATTCTCCACTTTATTTCCTTTCTTGATTTCTTCTTTTTTATTTCCTTCTTTTTTTTATCTTTTCCATTTTCATTTATTAGAACCTTAAAACTGAAAATCTGTAAGTAATTTTTTTTCAGATCTTGTAAATACTAATAGAAGATTTTTTTGTTGTTTGCTTTTTTTTTCCTTCTTAAACTAATTCTTTTCTCTTATATATTTAGCTTAGTTGAAACAAGATTAGAACTGGACTTTTGCAAGATAAGTACTGTTGAGAGATTTTTTTTTATCATTTGCTTTTTTTTTCTTTTCTTGTCGACTTGAACTAATTCTTTTTTTTTTTGTAGATTTATCTTCATTGAAATATTGAATAGTAGAGATTAAAACATGTGATTTTGTAAGATAAGTACTGTTAGTTTTTTTTTTGTTATTTGCTTTTTTTTTTGTTGGCTTAAGCTAATTCTTTTTCTTTTTTGTAGGTTTAGCTAGTTGGAATGTTGAATAGTAGAGATTAGAATACATGATCTTATAAGATAAATACAGTTGAGGTTTTTTTTCATTGTTTACTTTATTTTTTTCTTGTCAGTTTGAACTAATTCTTTTTTCTTTTGTAGGTTTAGCTTCGTTAAGCTTTGTCAAAACATAAATGGTAGATATTAGAATACAGAATCTTGTAAGATAAGTACTGTTGGTGGTTTTTCTTTCATTAGTTGTTTTTTTTTTGTTAGCTTAAACTAATTCTTTTCTTTTTTGTAGGTTTAACTTCATTGAGCTTCATTGGAACGTCGAATAGTAGATATTAGAACACAGGATCTTGTAAGATAAAACTGTTGGTAGTTTTTTTTTTTCATTTGCTTTTTTTTTTTCTTGTCAGCTTGAACTAATTCTTTTTCTCTTTTGTAAGTTTAGCTTCATTGAGCTTTGTTGAAATATCGAATAGTGAATATTAGAATCAGGATCTTGTAAGATAAGTGCTATTGGTAGTTTTTTTTGTTTGTTTTTTTTTCTTGTTAGTTTGAACTAATTCTTTTTCTCTTTTATAGGTTTAGCTTCGTTAAATGTTGAATAGTAGATATTAGAACACAGGATCTCGTAAGATAAGTACTGTTGGTGGTTTTTTTTTCATTGTTTGCTTTTTTTTTTTTCTTGTTGGTTTGAACTAATTCTTTTTCTCTTTATAGGTTAAGCTTTGTTGAAATGTTGAATGGTGAAGATTAGAACTGAAGTCTTGTAAGAGCCTTCATGACTATGATTTGTTAAATTTTCTTAATGTGGTTTTGTCTTTTTGTTGTAGCCATTTTTCATTATCAAAGTTTTTGTTGGCAGGTTTTATCCTTTTGGCGTTGTTGTTTAAGCTTTCATTACATCATTTTTGAAGTTTTTAGCATTTTGGACTTGGAATTGGTCGCGTTATATTGTTGAAATATTCATTATGTAATTGGAGTTATGGTTGGTTTTTGGTTAAAAAATTAGTAGATGATTTTTTTTTTTTTTTTTTTTAATAATGATAATAGATGTAATTTTTTGTAATTTTTTAATAAAAAATGACAATTTATTTTTTTTAATAAAAAGTTGCATGATCAATTCTGATTGGTCGATCACAGGTTGCTATAACGATAAGTTGCAATTATATGATCATATGATCATGATCAAGATCAGAAGTCGGTTAATCATGTAACTCAAAAAATCTCATCTACATCCTGTATTTATTACTTGCTCCTAGAGTAATATCATCTAGTTATATATAAAACCAATCAGATTGCCAGATTTTGTAAAAAAAAAATAAATAGCTCAAAATTTTATTATGAAAACTATGTTTTAACTTTTAAGCAAAAGTTTTCAATATCAAATTTTAAAGCTAACTTTAACCCTCTAACCTTAAGGTTATTTAATTTTTAATAAAAATTTTATAATACCAGGTAATATCATTACAGGTGAAAATTAGATATAATCTAAAAAAATTACTTAAATTAAATAAGTTATATATATTTTAATTGTATAATAATTATGATAGCTGATGCTGAATTTGGCTGATGCTGAAGATCACGTGACATTTCGGGCCTGCAATTGCAGATTATATTACATAATGATCATGCTGCATATAGAATTCAGGCTGAAAAATTGCAAATCGCATCGTACAATACAACAATCATATCATTGTTTTGATATGCATGTTTGTGCATAAAAATCTTTTTTTTTTATGTTCAACCACCCACCTATCCACCCAACATACTGATTTTTTTATGTTTGCTCACTCGTCCACCCGCCCAATATACTAATACAGGAATATAACAACAACACATATGTGAATATCATCCACCGAGAATAGTACTTTTTTTTCTTGTTCAAACTGTTTTTCAACTCGAGCTTGCAATTTTTTCTTTCTGCAAGTTTTTTTTTTTTTTTTTTTTAAAAAACTTTTTTTTTTTTGTTTAACTTATGTCAGTGATCTCAAAAATCCCTGATACAGAAGCTGAATACCAAACAATAGTGAAATATCTTTACTCAAAAATAATACCCGAAGATGTTCTGAAAAAGTATGCCAAAACAAACATTATTTGTAATGCACAAAATTTGTATTAGACGAAAATAGAGCCTTATACACTCCTGCTATTATAAAGAATGATGTTACATTTAAAAGATGCTGTGTGGTCCCTAAGTATGACCAAGAATTACGCATCTGGATATTAGAGCATTTTTACAATCAAGCAAATCACTATAATTATCACAAGACGTTTGCCACTACCTCAGAACACCATATTGGAATTATACAGGAAGAAGTCCAGGCATATATCAACGAATATGCTTCTTGTGCGGTAAACACTTACCTTAAAGAAAAGACTAATATGACACCAGTAGTATCAATAGCACCGTGGAAACATGTTCAGATTGACCTTGTGGACTTTCGTGATTTCATGAAAATGAATGATAGTTTTACATGGTTACTTACATACATTTGCGTGTTTTCAAAGTTCCTTGTAGCTGTTCATCTAAAAAACAAGGAGTCTAATACTGTTGTGCAAATCACCTTGTAAAGGAATTTTTAAGGTTCTGGGCCCCCCACAATTCTTCAAAGTGATAATAGCAAGGAGTTTGTCATGAAAATCCTTATCCAAATATGTAGAACTTTGGATATTACTATTAGGCATAGTCGCCCCGCTACCTACAATCGCAAGGCCAGATTAAACGTCTTAACCAGACCATTGGTCATGGTTTTACTAAAATGCTTTAGGATAAAAATAGTCAATTACAATGGAAGGACTAAGTTAATGTTGTTGATGCCTTTGTTGTATTATATAACTCTTCCACACACAAAGCACATAATCGTACACCACACAAGGTGATGTTTGGTTGGAAAATGCATTGTGTTTATGATACTTCTAAAAAATTGCAGGATATTCCTAAGAAAAGCGATTGTAATGATGTTGATATCACTTCTGAGATTGTTAACCAACATATTTCACATGTGTTGCAAATTCAACAATCTGTCAATGCATCACTAGAGAATTCTCATAATAAAATGTGTAAAAAAAGTAGTGTTCATAAAAAAAAATCGCCAAACAATACAATCGAAGCTGAAACCATGATTGCTATTGCACCAAATCATGATACAAACCAACAAACGTGAAAGTGAAAGCTTCAGCCAACGTTTTCACAACAAGATGTGTTCAAAGCATTGACATTCAACGATTGCACAGCGATTATAGAAGTAGATGACAAGGAGATCTGACTTCTTGTTAATAGAATCAAAGCCATCTAAACAAAGAAAAAAAAAAAAAAAAAAAAAACAAAAATCGAAGAGATGAAAGATAATCGAAAAGAAGGGATAATCAGAAGTCGAAAAAAGAGAATTAAAGAAAAGAGAAAACGAATCGAAAAAGAACAAGAAAATCGAAAAAAGAAAGAAAATCGAAGAAAGAAGAGGAAATCAAGCAAAAAAAGAAAAGGAATTGAAAAAAGAAAAAGAAATTGAAGAAGAGGAAATCAAAAAAAAATAAAAAAATTCGGAAGAAATCTGAAAAAAAAACCAGAAAAAATGAAGAAAAAAGCAAAACTAAAGCCCGAATGAAAAGAACAAGGTAGTGCTGACATTAGAGTAAGGTTAGAGTTAGCATTAAGACTTAGTAGATCTAGAAAGATAATATTTTTACATTTTTAGCATTGTATAACTTTCATTTGCAATAAATCATGTGATAAATCAATTAAACTTGTCTTCTATCGAAATGCGATTTTTTTTGATATACCAAAAAACCTTAAATTTGTTTAGTGCTTGCGATATAGTTAGAAAAACTTTTTGTTAGTACACTAAAGGTCGATTCCTATGCAGTCTTTTGAATTTTAACAAAACAAACAATTGTTTTAAAATTTTCTGATTCTGCTATGTTTACCTGATCTTGAAATATGATTTGTTTGCGCCTCATGTTCGTGGAATTGTTGCGATACTCGAGTATTAGTTAGTAGCGATCTGCAATTTATCAGCCCGAATTCTCATGATACAATTTGCAATCACCAGCCTGAAATGTCACGTGATCTTTAATATCAACTAAATTCAGCATCAGCCGTCACAATAATTATTTATATCCACTTATACTAATTTTTGAAAAAATCAAAAATGATCATTTATTTTGAATTTTTTGATCATATTATATTACACCAAATTATAATTATCTATTAGGTGATTTCTGTAAATCCTTATGTGAATATAAAATTTTATGCTGATCCTGGAGTAGTTCATATAAGATAGCTTTCTTCTAATTGGTTAATCACTTTCAATTATATTTATACAGTTAAAATATTTTTAAGAATATAATATTTATAAACAAAAAATAAAAATTAAACTCATCTCTATTTTCAAAGAAGCGCCAATAGTCACTATGCAAAATTATCCCAAATAATTCTACATCTTGAGGTATTTTATTTAAAAGATGAAATTTCTATGTATACTACAACTATAGAACTATATATAATTACTAAATTATTAAATATATTTGGATTATTTAAAAAAAATTAATAGTATAACTTTTTTTTTTAACAATAGATAAACAATTTCTAAGCTATATTAAAGAGGTTTTAAGGTATAAAAAATGTTAATAAAAGGATGTGGCAACTTAAAGTAGTAGTTAAGTTTTTACATCCCAAGCGGCAGGTTTAGAGTTCAAATCTCACCGAAGACATTTTTAAAAAAATAGGCCTGTGTTTCAGTAACAATTATTTAATGATCGGTTGGATATATCACCTGTAATCTTGATATTATCATCTCAAAATGGAAGCTCTTAGGCAATCCAAATCCAAAGAACTAGAATAATTGAAACTCATTTGACAAGATCCAAGTAAGAAGGTAGTGAAGATCTTTAATGATACTGCAAAAAAGTTAGAAACCGGAGACCAAAGAACTAGTCAAAAACCCTGAGACAAAAAGGATTCACCAACCTGGCCGCCAGAGTCACACCAAAGAAAAAGGCCTATACTACGGAATTAGAAACCAAGAGAAGTAAAACTGAAAAGCATTTAAAGCCTAGATACAATGACCTATTCGAGCTAACTGGTTTGGTAGTTAAGAAGGAATTGGTATAAAGACTAGCTTGATGTGGGTATCAGGATCAGAATGAACTATCCAAGAGCACCAAATACTAGAATTGTGCAGTTTAATAGTTCACCCTGACTGCTAGTGGTAGTTGCGGCTGCTGCAGAAGGTATTCATAGCCTAATCTGGAAGTGTATAAGACATAGAAAGATTAGGAGAATATGTATTACATCCTCCCTAGTGCAACCCGGTAGTATGAGAACCCTACTAGGTTATTTATAGAATTAGGGTACAAGTAGTATAGCAGATGTTGATCTAGGTGGCCTTCAATAAGAAGCAGCACAAGGTTATAGATTGGTGTGATTGTGGTAGTGGTACAGAACTGGGAACGTCAGAGATTTAAATAGATAATCTCCTAGTTAGATTACAAGTATGGTATATAATGTAGAACCTTTGAGTAGACTACTTAAATTAGACAACCAAAAGTTGTATGTGTGGCTATATATACTCTTGCTAATTAAGAATGTATTACTAAAATATCTAATAAAAATCCTGGCTATACGTAAACGGGAACATAGTGGCTTAGGTAGGCTTAGGTTATAGATAAAGCAGTCTAAGTCTTGTGTAGTTATGATATCAAAATGTATAGAATAATTTGAATAAAATTTGTATATACACATATATATTAATAAAGACACGAGGCATGACCTCACCTTAAAAAAAAATAAAAATAAAAAAAATAAAAAATTGAAATTAAAGAATTAAAAAGGTAAGAGGAAAATACTATCTGAAAAATGATAAGCTTAAAAGTTCTTCAAATCTATAAAAAAAAGTTATATAAGCCAAGAACTTAAATAATACAAGTTTTGCAAAATAAGGTTATTTTTAAATAATTAAAAGAATTGCTATTTTCACCATGTTTTTTGTTATTTTCACCATGGGTTATACAAAAAGATATAAAAAATTCTATTTTTAACAATCAATTAAATTTAAGAAATTAATTTTTTAAAATTAAAGAAATTTTTATTAAGTTAAGATTGTTGGGCTTCTAAATAAAGTTGTAAAGAAGACTTTTCTAGTTCTAATGGTAGTTAGATCATCAAAATCGGCTTGGTAGATCCCAAGATAATTAGAGTTAAAGATGCAAATATAAAGAAAATTAATTTTTTTAAAATTAAAGAAAATTTTATTAAGTTAGGGTTTGTTGGGCTTCTAAGTAAAGTTGTAGAGGAGACTTTTCTGGTTCTAATGGTAGTTAGATCATCAAAATCAGCTTGGTAAATCCCAAGATATTTGGAGTTAAAGGTGTGAACATAGAGATCTGCAAATTAATAGTTATACAAAGTATTATAGTCTTTAGTACTTTGTGTAACCATCAATTTGCAGATCTCTATGTTCGCACCTTTAACCCCAAATATCTAGCCAATTTTGATCATTAGAACCAGAAAAATCTCTTCTACAACTTTACTTAACTTCTTTAAATATTAAAAAATTAATTTCTTAAATTTAATTGGTCGTTAAAAATAGAATTTTTATATATTTTTGTGTAATCCATGGTAAAAATAACAAAAAACTATGGTGAAAATAACAATCCCCATAATTAAATAAATAAAAAAAAATAATAATAAAGCCAAAAAAGATAAAAAGCTTATTGAGACCAGAACCGGTCTTGAATTGGTCTTTAATCAGTTTTGTAGTTCTATTGTTCCAAGTCAAAGACTGGTCTGAACTAATCTTTTAGTCAGTTCTGCAGTCTCTTTGGTTCCAGATCTGTGACTAGTCTAGACCAGTTCTTCATAAGACTGATGCAACTATAATGTAGTATTAATTAAAAATTATATATTTAATTGGTTAGTTATCATAGGAAATTATAGATAGATTTACAAAAATTAACTAATTATATAAATATCTTTCTATAAAAAATCACCAACAAAAATTACTATATAACTATAATAAATTTTTGTAATCATATAATGATTTATAACAAATTATCCAATAAAGAATCTTGATTTGGTATAATATCATGTGTTCAAAACAAATATCTATTTAGAAAAAACAAAGAGAAATATACCAATATGGCAAGCATATAACTTATCTATATTATTAGTATAGCAAATAATCGACACAAGAATATTTAATTTTATAAAACTTTGAATAAAGATATTTTACCAACTATCTAAACAAATTTGATAAACTTTTTTATTTTAATTCTATGAACTTGTAGAATTAAAATAAAAAAAACTCATCAGATTCTCCTTGTGGTGCTGAGATTTTTTTAGTTAATATATAAAAAAGGTTATCTCTTCACATTTTAATTTATTATCAAATTTTCACAAAGAAATCTTAAAAAATATTTAAAAAAATTTGGTAAGCTTTTTTTTATTTTAATTTTACAAGTCTGTAAAATTAAAATAAAAAAAAATTTATCAAACTTTCTTGAATAATTATTGAAATATTTTCGTTTAAATTTTTTTTTGCTTTTAAATTTAATTGAAGATATCTTGACAACTATCTAAATAAAATCAATAAACTTTTTTTAATTTAATTCTACAAGTTAATAAATTAAAAAAAAACAAGTACATCAAGTTGGCTTAAATTGTTGTCAAGATATCTTCACTAAAATTCAAAATTCATTATCTATACTTCTATTTAATAGATAGTTTAAATATTTATCAAACTTTAAACTAAGATATCTTAACAACTATTAAAGCAAATTCGATGAACTTATTTTTATTTTAATACTAAAACTAGATAAAATAAAAATAAAAAAAAAAACATCAAATTTGTTTTGAAGATTGGCAAGATATCTTCGTTCATAGTTTTAAAAGTTAAAAATACTATTGTTACAAAGTAGATTTTTAGTGTAGATTTTACTTAGTTATTTTTAGTTATAAATATTCAATATTTGTATTTTTTATATATAGTTAAAATAGTATTTATTATTATATATCAGTTATTATATTTAGATAGCATATTTTATAGTAATTATATAGAAATATTCTAATTAGCTATAGAAAGTGTGGCACAGTCACATGACCTCACATAACCTCAGGTGATATAAGATTACACAAAAGAATACTTTGGGTTACACAAAGGTGTTACACAAGAAAGTAACACAAGTTCACCTTTTTCTACCACACGAACACCTTCTTCCTCTACACGAACACCTTCTTCCCCCACACGAACATCTTCTTCCTCCACACGAATATCTAATTCCTCTGCACAAGTCCTAAATATTTTAAATACAAAATACTGTGCAGCAAAGTTCTCTAATTCCCCCACACGAGATGTAAATAAATATAAACATGATGAGTAATGTTTATATATCCTCTACTTTACCCAGCACAATTACTTTCTTCACCTAATACGATCTCCTACTTCTCTCTACACAAGTTCACCTTCTTCACCTGCCAAGTATTATTCATATACTGTGCATCATATATCCTCCTTGTAGGTAAAAGATATATAAAGGGT